CTCTGGGATATGAAGAAAAATAATTTTATTGTGTTAACCCACTGAGATGTTAGGGTTGTTTGTCACAGCTGCTAATGTTACACTATTTTTAAAATGTTTTTATTGATTTCAGAGAGAGGGAGGGAGAGGGAGGGAGAGAGAGAGAGAGAGAGAGAGAGAGAGAACTTCAAATGCAGACAGAGAAAGAAAGAGAAAGAAAGAAAGAAAGGAAGAAAGAGAGGGAGGGAGGGAGGGAGGAAGGAAGGAAGGAAGGAAGAAAGAAAGAAAGAAAGAAAGAAAGAAAGAAAGAAAGAAAGAAAGAAAGAAAGAAAGAAAGAAAGAAAGAAAGGAATGGTTCCTCTCAGAGGAGTAATAATTACTTTTTAACATAAAAGTTGTCCAAGAGCACAATGTAATCTGCATGAGAACTGTGCAAATATCCTATGTGAATGTTCTACCCCCCATGTACACCCGGATTTCTTTTTCATATGTTGAACTTTAGAGCTCGATGGAACTTACGTTGTATCATCACGTTTTACAGATGAGCATGACAGACTCAAAAGCAAGTCCTCAAACTACACAATTTGCTCTTGCTGGACAAGCTGATATTTGCTTGGTGTAGGTGGAGTCCAGTTATTATTTCAGGGCCTATTTTGAGGCCATAGAACCAGAAACCCTTTTAGCTACTTTCTGGTTGTCTGCACCTCCCCTCACCCTCCATCTTTGGTAACTTCTGTCCTCCTTCCACACCTGCCCCCAGGGACAAAAACCTAATTTCCAGTATTCACACCAGAGCTTTGTTCTTGCTAAATGAAAGCAAAGTGCTGAAACAAGTGCTGATGTTAGATATATGATGATGTACACAATAGTGTTTCTCAAATCTTAATGTGCATGTAAGTGGCCAGAGAATTTTGTTAAAATGAATGTTCTGATTCAGTTGGTCTGGGGTGTCACCCAAAATTCTCCATTTCTAGCAGCTCCCATAGGAAATCTGAGAATTCTGGTCTCTGGGCCACCCTATGAGCAAGAAAGGGACTGGGAAACCACCCGTCACATCTTGTTCAAAAGATGTAACGGTCGCTTTCCAAGTTCTACATCCATACCTTTAGGAATATGATGCTTTTATTTATATTATTTTTATTTATATTATTCTACCTTACATCTTTGGTTGGATTGTTATTATTTACTTTTTCAGAAAATGCTACAAAGCATTTTGGAAACTGCCAGTGCAGGAGTAATTTCTTTTCAAACTCTGAGTTATTATAAACCTGCTGTAGACATCTGTGGATTGAAAAGAACTATATAAAGGCAATATTATGTTATTGAGTTGGTGCAAGTTTAGAATACAGTATCAATCAAGGTTTGACTTTCAATTCTGATTTTATGATGAGTAGCTATCATGGAAGCAGAGACCACAGTTTGGCTATTAGGAAGCTTTATTTTACATATATGAAGTCTTATTTATGTCAAGTAATTTAGTTCCCAGGTGTCCTCATTCTGTATCTGTGACTGTAGACAGACAGTATATGTCTAGGTAGTATGACAGTATGAATATGTGTGTGTGTGTATATATATATATACACACATTATATTATAGAATATATAGTATTGTATAAGTATATATTAATGCACATATATTATACATATATATGCATATTCAGGAATCAGCTTCAAAACTATAGTCAGTTCACAGGCTATATAGCTGATTTGTGGAAACTGATATTTATGAACTACACAGATGTTAAAATTATCTTTCTTTTATTTATTTATTCTGTGGGAAACTGAAAAGTGTTATACAAGCAATTTTACTTCTCTCCTTTCACCTCTATTTCCATTTATCTCATCCTGTCCCCTCTACTAAAGTAAACTGGGGTGTCTTGTTACAGCAATCTAATTTGGGATGACTCGAGAGATAGGAAGAGAGACAGGTAACATTGAATATTCAGAATTCAGTAATGAAAAATAATCACGTTAGTGAAAAGCCAGCTGTTCTTTGTTTTCTAATAGGCATGTGATATTGATGAAAAATAGTGTTCAAGTAAACTTTACCAAGTAGAATTTATTTGATTCAGGGTATTATATTATTTGGCAGAATAGGAAATATTATTTAGGTTTAACAAAAAGCTAAACAGTACAGCCAATTCAAAGACCCAAATAACAAAGAATTATCTTTACATTTAGAGAATGAAAAATGCTAGGGCGTGATATTTACTAGTAAGACATTGCATCATAATTCTTTCAGAAAAATATGCCTGTGTTGTCTACATTTTTCAAATTTCATTTGAACTAATGCTTTATGGATGTTTGTTACTCTTAGGGGTATGTTAAAATGTCATTGCAAACAGGTCAGACAACTTAGGTTTAGATGCTTCTGGATTTAAATCCTCACATGCTTCTATTTTCTTAGTTGGGAAAAAAATGGAGTTTTGTGACAATTTGGAGTTACTTTTCTATATCTCCCCAATGAGTTTGCAAATTCAAGGAGCTTCCCCAAAAGCAGACTCTGAGACAAGGATTGGAGTCCAAGGACATGAGGGAGTGAGGAAGTGAGGCAGGGAGGGAGGGCAGCTAGGAAACATATGTTCATGTGTAGGTTACTGCCTGGCAACAGGGACTGGAGCCCGCTGGGACCCTGCTCCACTGAGGGACAATAGTTTTGATAATGCCTTATCCTTCAGTGGTTGACATCACTCCAGGTGTGCTCGTTCTCGGGCAGTCTGTCTTCTCATGCTCAGGCCGGTCACTCCTAGGGCCAGAGAAAGCCCTCTCTAAAAGGCCAAAAGAGGCAAGAACTCAGAGACTTTTAGGGAAGGATCTTCAGTTGACCTTCAGGGCAAAATCAGGGCATTGATAGTATCTATTTTATCAGTGTGATCACGTTGTATTCCCAGCAACTGGTATAGTGCCTGGTACCTAGCAGATGCTTAGTTAGTATTTATTTGGTGAATGAAGGAAAGAAGGATAGGAGAGAAGGGAGAAAAATGCAGGATTCCAATAGAATGGGAAAAGCCAGCATTGGATTCCTGTCAGGCAACAACATAACTTACAGTCAGTGTGGTCTTTTGTTCCCTTTTCTGGGGCCTGAGTGATATTCTACAGAAATCACCCCAGAGGAGGAAGAGGGCCTGAGAAAGCAGCATCAAGTTTATAGAGTTTGACACTATCAAAGAGTTAATAAGTTAGAAATATGTGTTCCTTGCCAGAAATATGAGCAGAAAGAGCTTGCCAATGATTAGTTTCCTTTTTCCTGAAAGAGTAGAGAAATGTGCTACAGGGCCAACCTGGACCCAAAATACTGAAGTGTTTTCATGCCTAATGCTGACTCTCTCCCTCAGCCTCCCGTGGCCCGGGCATTGGGTGGCAGACCAGTCACAGAGTGAGTGGGAATTCATCCACAAACACTTTCTTTCTTTAGCAGGACTCCTAGCTCCTCCTGACAATTTCCTCATACTGATTTATTGATTTAATTTTTTGTTGGCGATAGTGGTGGTTATAAAGTAAATTTACCCCAGTAAAAAGGGATTTGGGGAATTCATTAAGGCTAACATTGCACTTGGATGCTAGACTCACTTTCCATCTGCCCAAAACAGCTACATAAAAGAAGCAAGTGACACCAAGCTAGTGACAATGAACTCTTTCCTCCTTTTATTCTGTTAGGAAGGTGAGAATAGAAGGATATGAGTGTTATTTTCCTCTTAATTGCTAACCTTGGAAATCAAAAGCCAAATGACCCTCACAAACACCATTTTTGTCATCATCTTTGAATTTCAGCCATGTATTTCTCTTTTTTCAATTTGATTTAGGACTAAAAAGAAAAATTGTCTTGGATATATGTTTCCCTACTCTTGACCCTGCTTTTATGTAACAAATTAGCCCAAACCGTGGCAGCTTAAAACAACAAACATTTGTTATCTCATTTTCTCTGGTTCAGGAATCTGGGTATGGCTTTGCTGAGGGCTCATTCCCCCAGGTCTTTCACAAAGCTACAATCAAGGATTAGGCTGGGACTGCAATCTCATATGAAAACTCAACTGGGGAAAGATCCACTTTCCAACTCATACACATGATTGCTGGAAGGATTTACTTTCTACCAACTATTGGACTGAGAGCCTCAGTTCCTGGTTTTCTGTGGACCAGGGCCTCCCCTACTTCCTTGCCATGTAGGCTTCTTCACAAGGAAGCTGGCTTTCATTGTAGCAAACAAGTAAGATGGCAGTCACGGTCTTTTTTAAACCTGATGTCCTAATGACACACGTTAACTATTACTGTGTTCTCTTTGTCCTAAATGAGCCACAAGGTCCAACCCATACTCAGAGAAAGGCTAATACGAGGACATGAGTAGGAGGTGTGAGGATCATTGGGGGTCATTACATAGGCTGCTTATATAGGTACTAGAGGCCCAGTGCACAGATTCATGCACCGGTGGGGTCCCTAGGCCTGGCCTGGGCCCTCTCACAATCCAGGACCCCTCGGGAGATGTTGGACTGCTGGTTTCGGCCCGATCCCCACAGGCCAGGCTGAGGGACCCCTAACGGATATAGTAGTGTGTGAAGTGGCAGGTGGCCAGGGAGGAGCCCGAGCCTGGGCCGGGCACTGCGCCACTCCTGTTCACCCCGGCCCCATTGTGCCTGCCGCCGCCCGCTGTCCCCACAGCTGA